CTAAATTTGATGGAAAGAAAAACGTGTTCTAATAGTTTAAAATTTAATTTTTGCGGAGCAAATCAATTCGGATGTTTCTTTATCCCATGAAATCTACAAAATTTAACTCCTTCCTTACTCAAAATTATAAAATTAAAGAGCTGGGACCATAATGATGAAGTAATAAATTATAAGATCTTCTAGAATAAATACCTGTAAAAAGTAAACTCGAAGTCCATATGCTAAGAATACAACAAGTGTGAAGACCCATCTAAAGGATGTGTATGGTGTGGCCTTGTCCAGAAGATTCTGTTTTGTCTGTAACACAAAATTAGGGTTAAAAAAATATTTTTGCTACAGATCATTTTTTAATGTACATATGTGTAACAGGAGAAGAAAAAATTGCAGCGAATCAGACTGCCATCTTTCTCATCTATTGTTACATTTGGTGCCTTGCCTTGCCCTGGAAGTGAAATGTGAAATACCTGCCAGGGAAGAGCCTGGGTTGTGTTTTTGGGAGCCGAAGACCTCCAAGGAGGTAGAAATATGGCGATCAGATCAAGTTAGATCATCAATGGCCTGATAGCTCCCTAAGTTGAGCACCTAACTGGAAGTTCAGGGGCCCAAGGTTAAATCTGGTCTGATCTGTCACATTCTCTTCTCCCGTTACATATGTATCATATATCAATTCTATGTTATATTACAAATATTGATCTGCACATTAGGAATGTTAAAGAAATATTATATCATAATTTTTCCAACACTATTACCACATTTTTATTTATACAATTAAATAATTATTTATACAATTAAATAATGGTAAGAAATTCTGTAATTTACCTCTCCTACTCGTCTGAAAAATTGTTTTACAGCCCCAGGGGCGGAAGGTGACGAGGTTTCTCCTAAATCTGTCATTGTTAAATTTGTTAATCAACCTGTAAATAACATGAATTGTTAGCAAAGGTGGTCTTGATATACAGAGAAACGGGAGGACACTGCATCAAAGGAATGAGGATATAAAAATTTTAGGCAGATTTCTGATGATTTTTTGGTGTATGGAAAAACATAAAAATATTTCACGGTGAAAGCCTTCAAAGGCACTGTACTATGTAGCTGCAGATCTGTAGCTCTCTGAAAAAAAAAATTATTTGACAGACCAGAGAGCTACAGTGCCACCCATTGAAAAAATGTATATTTATTGCGCACAAAAAAGTGCGCTTTTAATCGATTTATTTCTCCATGTTTTAAAACTATAATCTCAAAATATTACTAACCGTGTATTCCTAACATATTCTTTCACTGTCTCCACAACAAAACATACCTTACAATTGTTTATAACCCTCCTGGCCCTGAAATCGAGATCATCAAAAATTTCATCTGTTTATACTGCCATTTTGGTTTGCAAGATAATTCGACCCAACGCGCTTTGTGTAGATGTCAACTACCAAAGTACTTGATAGAAGAATACGGAATTTTTTGAAATCTAAATTTTTTGCTGTTGAGGTAAGAATTTGGAAGAATTAATCCATACACAAGCGCAACTTTTTGTGCGCAATAATTATACAGTTTTTTCAATAGGTGGCACTGTAGCTCTCCGGTCTATCGATATATTTTTTTTCGTAGAGCTACAGTTCTCCGATCTATCAATATATTTTTTTTCGGAGAGCTACAGTTCTGCAGCTATGTATTATGACCCTCCTACTATAGATAGTTTTCGATTGACCAAGAGTTACTTCCCGTTGGTCGCCATACTGGAGGTCCATATGCTCATATTCCTTCATTGTTCAACCAATTTAAAATTTTTATATTTGCTATTTTGAATTAGAAATCATTATTTTTCTGAAGTATATAAATTTTTGGAAGCCTCCTTTATTTAAAAAAAATTATTTGATAAAGATTTTCCATCAAATATTTCTGCTATATTTTCTTAAACTTGGTAAGACAAAGAGGGAAAATCACTGAGTCGACCTCCAATATGGCGGCCAACGGGAGGTAACTTTCGCTAAATTCAGGCCTATCGAAAACTATCTATAAACAATGAATTAAGAAAAAAATTGAATTTTTATGTTACTCTCATACAAAATCATTGATATTTTCTGGAAGCAATAGTCATTTCAAAGTCCTTCCATTCTCAATTTAATTCATTAAGACATTCGATACCAAAAAATCCATTACTCGAGTCTAGTGACTATAGTTTATGACCTTTCAGTGTGGTCCCTATATCCATTATAGACTCACCTTCAATCGCTGCCTTGTTATTTTTATATCGTATTTTTTCTTCTTTTTGTTTTTTTTTTAAGATTATTAGATCACTTCATTTACATATATGCCTAGATGTAAACATTCTTATGCATTTGTTTTTCGCCACGTCCAAGTTGGCCGGTTGTCTGTGTACTTCCGGTGGAAAAGGCGAGATTAATATCCAAACCAAGATGGATATATCCGGATAATATGGATGCATGCAATGATAATGTACGGAAGACCAGTAGCGTCTGCATGTTCAATATTCGCATTGAGGATTATGTGCAGTTAAAAAATACAAAACTTTATTAAAGTTTGTTAAGTTGAGGGCATGTGTTTAATTGTTTTCATTTAGGCCTAATCAAAATGTAGTTTATGACCACCTCAAAGAAAATCGTTTGTCTGCACTCTCCATACCAACTGACTAAAAATGGACCGACTCTTGAAAACTTTTTTTACATTTTAGGTCTAATAAGAAAACGTTAACCCCCTTTTTATTTGTGATTTTTTTTAACCCGTCAATATATAGGTTGAAGTTTTCCATGAAATCATTTTCCTAAACTTAATTCCCACCCATTTTTCAGTTTATCCTGAGTCAAGAGAGGGCAAACAATTAAACAGATGGCCTAAATTTATTTTACTATGGACTACTGTCATTTCAAACAAAGCTCCATGTACGAGCACCCCAACCCCTTAATATTTTAAGACATTTCGAGGACTCGAAAATATCTGAACGTGCTATCAAGTAAATGTCTCCGAGACAAGGAATCTATTCAAAATATAATATCAGTCTTGAGTTTCTGATTGACAGACAGTATCCAAATATTTTTTGGAAATCAGGTCTTTCAACCATCTGTTGGAATTCCCATGGGAACAACTTGTGCCTGTTATTAGCTGACATATTTTTTGTATTCGTGTGAAACATGCACCCCTCACATGCAATTCATTTTTTTAAAGATTGGCTGAGAGAAATCACGTGATCAGTTCTGATTGGTGGAGGGGATAAATGGGTCAACTGAGTGCAGTGCTAACCCTAACCCCTAGCCCCCTAACCCTAACCCTAACCCTAACCCTACCCCTAACCCTAACCCTAACTAACCCTAGCCCCTAACCCTAACTAACCCTAACCCCCTAACCCTAACCCTAACCTTAACTAACCCTAACCCTAACTAACCCTAACCCCCTTAGCCCTAACTAACCCTATCCCCTAACCTATCCCTAAATACGGGGTGTGTTTACATTGGTACGTTGGTACTACGTTTTGTTTATGAACACAGGTAAAAATGCGCCGTGTGCAAAAAACATTTCAAGAATGTGATTATGACGTCACCCATTCACAGTCTAGACAGTCCTATAACCGGTTCAAACTGGTTTTAGTGAAAACAAGAACACACAGATTTTGATTTTTCAATTTTATTCAGAATGAAAATACAATTATACACTGTCTTCTTAATTTTTTCCCTCTCCTTTTTCTTTAGATTGTTTTTCTTCAGGCGATAAAGGGATGCGACAATATACATACACTTTATAAATAGGCCTATCTGTAAAAAGTCCTTGAAGGCTGTTTTCTTTCCGAAACCTCTTTTCTATCAATTGATAAAAACACGATTGAAGTTGAATTTTCCAGGAACTCTTCTCCAGTATTGTATAAGGTTCACTCATGATCTTCAATTGGTATTTTTGATAACCATCATATCCATTTTTTCTCTCCTTCAGACAGTATTTTTCCTCTCTGGTGTCATGATTTTTTTCATAATCTTCAGGATCCAATTCCACTCTTTTTACCAACCAAAATTTTTTGTACTTTAAATTCGGTGGCCATTTTAAATAATTTCTGTTGCGTTTATAAAAATCCTGGATGGCTTCTTCTTTAATTTTCATCCATTCTCCAAAACGTTCTCCGTTAATAGACCAACAATACTCCATTTCCTCTGTCATATTTTTTGTCTGCTCCATTTTTTTTTTTACCTGTGTCCAATTCCAAGTACTCACACAGAATGATCATCAATGTCCAGCGCTGGTTTATATATATAGCTTGGATTTATTTTAGGGTCGTGTGCAAAAATACCTTTTACCTACGTTTTTTTATGCTGACTATACAGGTAAATGCGCCGTGTGCAAAAAAAAAAAAAAAAAAAAAAAAAAAAAAAAAATATGCTGACTACACAGGTAAATACTTGGCAGCGAGCCAAGTTTGTTTAGGGCCGTGTGCAAAAAATATGCTGACTACACAGGTAATACTTGGCAGCGATTCAAGTCAGGGGGCCCGTGTGCAAAAAAAATATGCTGACTACACAGGTAATACTTGGCAGCGATTCAAGTCAGGGGCCCGTGTGCAAAAGAAATATACCTTTTACCTGTGTTTTCTTATATACCTGTTTGCAACCTCTGTAAAGTGCCGTGTGCAAAAACTTACCTATGCATTGTGACGTCATTCACTGTATAAATACAATGTGATTATGACGTCACACTTTTTCATTTACAGTCTAGACAGCCTATAGTCTAGCCAGCCTAACCAGTTTGAACTGAATTTTTTACTGAAAGACAATAACAAATAACACACAATACAAAAAACATGTGTGTGTGTTATGTCTCTCAAGTTATTACACCAGGTCACTTTTTTTAAAAACTTAGAATTTCTTTCTAAATTTTTTAAACTTTTTTTAAAGTTAACTTTAAATTTTTTAACTTTTAACTTTTTTAAAATAACTTTAATTTTTTTTCTTATTAATTTTTTTTTTTTTGGTAAACTCCCCTTATAGTTTTTAAGAAATAAAATTTAAAAAAAATCATGTAATACTACATCAGTGTTATGTTATTGTATGACTTCATCTTTTATACAGTCGGGTTCGGGGTTTCGGGCAGCCATAGCGAATTTCGGCAAGATTTTACCCCAGTGAAAAAGGCTTGTAATCCACAGTGTAGGTCGTTTAAAGTTGTTTCACATTGTTTATGATTGTGATTATGTTATCGCTCACCTATATGTTTAATGTCAGCTATGCTAAATAACCCATTTCTGTGTAATTTGAGAGAATGTTTTGACATGTGGTTAAAGTATGGCGTGCTATTCATGTTATCATTTAAAAAGTCGATCCTAAATAAATCTGTCTTAAAAAATACATTTTACGAATGACATTTAATATGATTGATTAGAGTATAGGTATCCATATATAAGAGATATTATTTTGCATTACATTTAAACATGTTTTTCTGTCCTGTTTGTCTGTCAATTGTTGCTTTACTTCCTTTGTAAAATGAGGTTAAATTGAGTATCACTGAATATTGTATGCTTTTTTTCAGGATCAGCTAAGATGTTGTTTCACTGGATTATTTAATTGGGCATATAATTGGATAATTCTGGTAAGTTTGTCTTATTTTTGTTTACATTTCCTGTCAAGGTCATCTTTGCATTTAATCATAATTATGTAAAGTTCTGTTTTGAATGTAAATACTGTATTTATCCTCATTTCATGTGATTTACAGTTTTATAACCTGCATGTAACTCAGAGTGCATTTAATATTTCTATGATAGGTCATTTTATAATTGAATTTCAATCAGAAAAATGTTCGCTAAATTTTGATAAAATACATGGTATCTTTTACATTTCTGTCCCTTTTGTCAGTCTACGCGAAAGTTTAAAATTTTTACAGGACAAAATGTCTGATAAAAATAAAATTTTTACCAGACCAAACAATTTTTTACCAGACCAACTTTTTTTCCTATAAATCCATACATCATTATGATACTGAGAATGAGAGGGTGGATGGGATGGCCTCATGGGGTTAATTCTCACTGTGAAATTTGTTCATTTAAATAGACAAGTTAAGTATTTATATTTTTCCTTTAAAAGGTATCTATTTATACCTTGCATTTCATGTTTGATTTATACAACATACACAATATAAGACTTTCTGCATGTAATATTCAATTTCAATGCATATTTATTGTTCCATTTTATGGTTATAAGTTCAATGATCATTTCTATGATGTATGAGCTATCTAAATATTTTCCCATGTATACATATGAGCTATTTAAAGATGATCTTTGACAAAGGAAATTCGAATTAGAATCAAAACGATCATGACAGGGTTGTAATACAAAATTAATAAGGTACTACTGCTAAATTGGTCAAATTATTTGTGGGGAATTTGACCATGTATTTCTCTTATTTAATTATTTCCTATGATGGGTCATTCTCGACATTTGGTTTAAATGTAAAAAATACATGGTATCTTTTACATTTCTGTCCCTTTTGTCTGTAAATTATTGCTTTACTTACATTGTAAAATGAGGTTAATTGTGTATCACTGAATTGTATGATTTTTTCAGGATCAGCTGAGATGTTATTTCACTGGATTATTTAATGCATAGGCTAATTGGGCATATAGTTGAATATCTCTGGTAAGTTTGTCTTGTTTTTTTTAATTGTTTATACATTTCCTATGATGGTCATCTTTGCATTTAAGCATGATTATATGGTTAATTTTATTACTGTATAATACTTATGTGATCTGATATCTCTAACTTACATTCATATAAACACACCCTTATTTTGTCTAAAATATATTAACCTATGATTAAGGGATCTTCAGAATATTAATAAGTCCTTTTGTATAAATTATATGATATAATTTCATAATTCATTATGTATGTTACCCATGGCCATGGAATTCAGACTTACTAAATGGTGATCAAAGAGATATTAATTAGGAATCTAATAAGAGAAAAGGAAGAATTTACAAAAGATTAATCACAATAGTTATTTACTTTTTGTTTTGATTCTAAATATGTGGGATATATGGCATACATATATTTTCATTTTCACTTTTGTTTCTTAGTAATGAGCTTTTCAAAAAATTAAGGACTACATGTTGTACTGTGATGATGCTAAAAAAGATGTATTTTTCTGTATGCAGTACTGACAGATATTAAACAAAATTGAATCTGCTGTTAATAAAAAATCTTTTAGTGTCTAAATAATTAATTTGATAATCATTTTATTTGTGATATCAATACAGTAATTGTGCTTTTTTTTTATTATCTAAAGATAACATGATGAACTTTTCTCATCTGGAGTTAATGTTAAAAACAATTTGTTTTGAGATTAAAAACAAACATTTTCATGAACTTTTTTGGCATTGTACATGTTTGTTCAATTTTTAAACATGCATTGTTTCACACAGTACTCTGTCATATTAACAAAATGGTTTTATTTTCTATACAGTCCTCAACCTGGAAGATATGTTTTGTTCCTAACCATCTATAATCCATTCTCTATGAAGTTCAGACTGTCTGCTCTTCCTTTGGAAATACACAGTTAGTCAACCAACATAGAAACACACAAACTTGAAGGTAAAGTTTCAATGAGATACAATTGTAATATATATTTATTTATTATTTTATTTATTTTTTTTTTACATATGCATGTTTATAATTTTGAATTGATATGTAAATGATATATTTAAATAAAAAGGGCTTGGTGGTCATGGTCATGTTTAAACTATATTGATCTCCTTTAGAAGAAGAAGAAGAGCTCCATTTCAATATATATACAAAAATGCATGATCAAATTTTGAAACTAAAATGTATGAAAGTTTTCTTTGCCAAATGATAGTTAACAGCTGAAGATAGCATATCTATAGAATAAGTTAAATATGGCTAATTTGTAACCCCCCCCCCCCCAGCTTCCTTAATATCATAGTTGGTAAAGATAGCAAGTTTTGACTCCAATTGCTGATGAATTCTGAATTTCCCATTTAATATTAACATTATATCACAGGGAAAGAATACTATAATGTAGCACATCAGGATGACCAGAAAAGAAATCTTAATGACCCTCTTAACTATGTATAAAGACTGTAACCTTATAACTGATGTAAGATAATCTGATTGTGTGGAATTAAAATTCCCTGGTGTTTCTACTACCCAAGATCTTCTTATGAGTGCATGGGACTGTTGTAAACCTTCTCCTGTTTATAAAAAATATACCTTGGAGCATGACACTTTATTCATAAAAGGTACTTTCAATATCATTTCTATGAGTTTTTGTTCTTTCTTTTTAATAATCTAGTGTTATATCTCATTTAAACCCATTAATATGTATGCTTCCAAAATCTTAGATCTGTCTGTATAGTTTTTTCAGCTCTTTGAACACAAATACCCTGATTCAATCTTTTGAGGTAAACATGATAGAGACATCATAGATGATTATCAGAGTGTGTATCACAATCTTAACCATAAGGTCAATTTAAATGGTCTAAGGCACAACAAATGAAAGTGAAAATTTATTATTATTTTTTTTTTATTAGAATACATAATTTTGTAATAAACAAATACTGGAAAAGTTACTCTCATAATAAGCCTTAATGTCCTCCAAGAGTTCAGTTTGGACTTCCTCCATTAATCCTTGTATCTTCTCCAATGGTTTTGTGGGCTAAAATTCATGTGTCTTTAACAACATTTTTTTTCTGACAACTGTTTTCTCTTATTATCTATAAACTTGACTTCTTCTCTAGTCAAAGGTCTTTCAGGGTAATCCAAGTAATTCTTACCCTCTTTTGGTAATAAATGGTTATATTCCTCATTGGCTTCTTCTGCAATCAAGGGTCTTTCTATGTAATCTCTGACAACATTAGGATCACCCTTCTCTGGACTTAATTGGTTATATTCTTGTTGAGAAATGATCTCAATAGTGCCATCTTTTTTTTTTATTTTAACTGGTATACCTCTGTCTACATCTTTCTCTGAAAGAATTCTCTCTCCAAACTGAATTTTACTCATTCCTTTACTCTTTTCTTTACTGGAGGTGTTACCCATGGTTAATATGAAAATTCAAAATCTGATGTTACAACTTGTATTTATACCCTTTTTTGTTCTATATTTAGAATTCCATCAAGCTTATAAATCTTATATACTTTGAATCAACAGAGGTAAAAAATTAAACAATTAAAACAAAGAGAGAAAACAACAACAAACGTTTTTTTTTTAACTAAGACATTTTTTTTTTATTTTATTTTTACATGAACAGGATTCTCTTAGTGAGGGCTTATGGAAATGATCTATGTCTTTTTTCACTCTCAGAATGGTGAAAGACTTTATCAGATATATCAGACTATCTTTAAAAAAAAATTTCAAAGACTAACCATTTCAGCTCAATATATACCTCTCTTGGAACACTGAAACAAGAAAATCAAACAGGAGATGGATGGAGGATTTAAGAAGACACATAGATAAATATGATTTCCAAGAATGGTGAAAGACTATCAGAATTTAACCAGTATTATCATAGACTGTGGTTTACAGGATGACAAAGTAACAGGATTGTATCTTTTTACTGTCAGACACTGACTATGGATAAGATGTACCCATTTATTAAACTGAGATCTAGTCAAATCAAGTACAATTGTATTGAAAATATGATTTTCTGATAGCATGAACTCTTTAAAAATTAATTCTCACAGACCTCAAAGTATCTGAATGTGACTTTTATTTTTACCAATTTCTATTGAAGACTGTTGTTATGTATGAGAAGTATACATTTAAACCTTTTATTTTTCATCTTATTTCTATAACCCCCTAGAAATTACACAGATATTCAGATGCTGGATTTAATATTATTATTTAACTTTCCTGGAATGGTAAATATATTTTGTTTGTGTATGTATCATTTTTTAATTTTGAATTTAAAATTGGTCTCAATAAGACCCCCAATAAAGATGCAAGTGTCCCATAATCTGTGGTTTAATAATATCTTGAATATCTTTATCATATCATATTCATCATACTAATTACATATAGAATGTTTGTAGGAATACACTTTGTTGTTTAGGACACTTTGTCAAGGTCAAAGCATAAGATTATTGAGATGACTTCTTTGACAATAATTTGTAACTTACAAACTTCACATCATAAGTACACAGATGAAGAATCAATAAGATATTTCTATAGATTTTTTGGATCATTTACTCCTGGGTAAAAGTTAGTTACTAACTGAGATTACTGATTTGAATCCTGTAATGCAATAACTTAAACATTGTGTGATAACTTATAGACTTTATAAAAATTAGGTGCAAATTCTTAGGAAAGGATTGAAATGTAAATCATATGCACTATGTTCAAGGATGTTTAAAGACTATTACTATGTAATACCTTAGAATTCTGTAAAAAATTTATTATCACTGCGTAGATAAAGACTGGTTGGAATAATTTATGTTTTGAAATAAGGTTTAGGGAAAAAAGTCAAGAATGTGGATATGACTTTTATTCAAATGGTGCAGTTCAGCAACTCTGGTGATTTACATACCTTCAGTCATAAATACATGTAGATAGGTATTGGGAAGACTCCTCTAGATTTTGAAATTTTTAATTCAAAAGTATAGAATTTTTTTTTTAAGTTTGAAAGATTAAATGGCAGCATATCATTTGCTTGTGAATTAAAAAAATAAATCCAAACATATACATCTTTGGATGATAATTGTAGAATTTTATCAATTCCTGGACTTCGGTCTTGATATCATCCTTTAATGTCCTTAAAATTTTAATGACTGTCTTTTAGTTTTAGTTGAATTAGTTTCTTTTCTACATGTGAAAATGACATCATCCAAAGAAGTTCTTCATCTGCATGTTATATGAAGAAGACAATTTTCATCACAGTGAAAGAGATTGTTTTGTTAAACATATTGCATTGATGCACAAATATACTTTTAGATTTTTAATAGCTAGGGTTCATATTTCTTAATATGGAATGCTAAGTACTGTTGATTTCAATTTTTTTTTTGAACAAAGACATACTAGTAGAAAAAAAAAATGTACATGATGTGTTAGAAAAGCATGTGTAAACCTGATGACTTTATAATTGCTGATTAAATCAATTATGAGTTTCATCTTTGTTACATTGTAAACATTTCTAAGTAGTGCACACATCAGAAACTCTTAAAATTCTGAGTATCAGGGTTTAACACAACAATTCTAAATGATTTTTGGACGCTTTTTATGTATCAATAAAAAAGACAAAACAGAATGTTTGTTCACAGATGTTCCAATGGAAAACAACCACAAAGAAATGATTTGACATGTTCTTTATGTGATTCATGTAAAATGTATTTTAAAATTGTATCCTAACATTTATCTTTTGCATAAATACATTTTTTGTGGAGAATTTCTCATAACTTTGAAAAAAGTAGTCTTATTGTATAATATGGTTAACTTAAAATTTTGTAGACTTAAAAGTTGTACATGATGTGTTACACATCTTACATATGTAACCATTTCATTTCAGGGCATTCAGCATATATTGTGGTTTTGTCTTAAATTTGTTTGTTCATGTAATCAATAATTTGAGAATACTCAAAAATTAGGTAATATATGAGAGAATAGGTAAGAAAATCAGGTTTAAAAAATGTTTTTACTACAAAGGGGTTAATCTATATATTGAATCTGTAAGTACATTTAGTCTATACACTTAAGGTATTTGTTTATGAAATAAACTTGCATTTGAGCATTTTTAGACAATTGTAAACATTACTTTAACCAGTTTAAAAAATGATTAGATTCACTGTCAGCATGTTATTTCTTGTAAAATAAATGAGAAAACCAATTTTATTTGAGTCAGTTTTTTTTATGTAAATAAAAAGCATTGGAAGTTGGGAATATTTCACAAAGTTAATTAATTTATACAAAATTTTTTATACATAAGATTGAGCATATTTCTCACTAGGGGTAATTGAGTAATTCTCAGGAGTATATATTTTGATTTAAGCATTAAAGAAACCATTTCATATTTCAATATACAAATCATGTTCAGTCATGCAGTATATAGTTTACACTTGACAAAAAGTAAATGGTATCTCTATTCAGGGTCAATCCAAAGGTCAAAAAAAAAGGAATGAAAAAAAATTTCTCTTTATGTATCAAACATGTAGGTATTATTGCAATAAATTCACTGTATTCATTTTTTGTTCTCTTTCTATGTATGAATAGCTCTGATTTAGGCAATCAAAGCAAATGAGTTATGTCAAATGATGAAGGTATACACAAGAAATTAACATGGACAGAGAATTTTGAGTTTCCCTCAAATATGGTTGCCAAGGGATGTGAAATAAAAACAAAATGTGGACTTATCTATTAGGATTGTACATATTATGAATGATGGATACTATGACATTAAGAATGACATGAAAGAAATAAGTTTGATTCAATTATATAAACAGTTCTTAATCCATACAGTCAAAATGGAGGAAAAAATTTTCTTTATTAGGCATAAAGTAACAAACACTCACCCAATGCATCAGAATTTTACTTTTTGAAGAAAAGGAACCTTACTTACTTTGTTGAGTTGACATTCCTTTTTGTGTTTGACAGGTAGACTAATGGTTTCTGACTATATAATG